GTGATTCCCGAGCGACATGCGGTGGGCCGCCCGACCCTGCCGTGATTCGCCGCCCCGCCAGGCGGCAGCGGGCCTCAACTTTCCTCCACTTTCTGTCCCTTCCTATTTATTTATTTATTTTAGTTACCGGACGGTGACGTCAGCCCGGAGGAAAGCTGCCGTTACACCGGAGGACACTGCACAGTGAGTGCTTTAACTATTCCTACCGTGTGTGTGTGTGTGTGTGTGTGTGACCGACCAGCGCCCCCACCCAACCGTCTGTGTGTCCCGGTACCAACAGGCCCGGGCCAGGACCAGGACCAGGACCGGGGCGGCCCCACCGGCTCCCGGCCGTCTGTTTGTTTGTTGTCCGACCGGAGACATGGGGACGGTGTGAACGGATCAGCGCGTGGCTTCCTCCGGTACTAGAGGTGAGTCTGCCCCGGTAACGTCACTGAATCAGCCAATAACACGATAATGATCGACGCTGGTTACTTCACGGTTGGTACCGGAACTTAATTAACCCTCATTAGTGTCTAATGAGGAGAAAACCCGCGGACGTGTAACCGGATGAGTTAAACACCGACGTCACTGAACGTCAGAGGATCAGTCCGGGGATCCCTGGACACACCGTCCTCACAGGGTGTCAGGCTCAGACCAGCGGCACTAAGGTTCCCACCTGGGGAGGGCAGTGCACGTCAGCGTGTCCGCCGGATCAGTCCGTGCACACGTTGGGTGCTTTCAGCTCAGCTGACTTTGAATCAACACGTAGTTCTCAGGTTTTTTACTGTATCGGTAAAGGAAGCGACTACACCGGGGATGGAGGGTCCGGTCCGGTCCGGTCCGTAAAGCTGAGACAGACCGACACACACTGCTCAGGCGGAGCCCGGTGTGAACACTGGGAGGCCGTTCCCGTCCCTGAAGTTAGGGCTCAGCAGGCATCTCATCTGTCTGTGCGTGTGCGGGTATTTTTAGCTGCGTGATGTTTGGTGTTGGGCAACGCCACAGAGCTGACCACACGAGAGACAGGCCCGTGCTCGTGACACCTCCAGGTGAGGAGCGCGCTCGGGCTGGTGCGTCTCTAGGTCACACTGGTCCTGTGACCAGCCCGTCTACAGGTTTAAAAGTTCACATGAACGTCACCGACGTGGTTCACTTTCCCGCCAGGTTGTTTATACCCGGATGAACCGGCCTTTAACTGGCTTCTGACCGACCCGGCTCGGCTCTCCAGCAGACGGCTTGTTTCCGCTCTGCTACGTCATAGCTGACATCATCACGTTGGAGACGTCACATACCTGCTTTAACCGCCGTTAAAAGCGGAGGCCTGGCGGGTTTACACGGGCTTTAGGGACACATCAATGTAGGGACACAGGTGAGAACAAGTCTGAGGTTTAAGGACACAGTCACGAATCAGACGGAGCAAAGAAGAAAAAGCTACGAAGACATTTAAGAAAAGACGGTGAAGGAGACTCGTTACTCACTGAACAGTGAGGACAGTTAATAAAAGTCAAAGCGGTTAAAAAATGTGTGGTGAAAGTCCTCCGGGTCCGCCTGAGGGTCCAGCTCCGCCTGAGGGTCCAGCTCCGCCTGAGGGTCCAGTTTCATAATCAGTTATATCTTTAATTAATCAGTTATATCTTGAATTTGTGACTGAGCCACGTGAGACAGACGTCTTCAGACCCCAAACTCACAAACTTCTTAAAACGTTTGATTCCATCTCTAGATGCCAAGATTTCCCACTGCATGTGAAGGCAGCACGTGGTCACTGTCATGTGAACAGGACGTGGAGCATCAGCGTGTAAACGTCCTGTACAAACCGTGGGGTCGAGCCCATGCCTATCTTTAGTTGTGTGTGTGTTTCCATAGGCAGGGCCCAGAGTGTGTGTGTGTGTGTGTTTCCATAGGCAGGATGAAGACTGTTCATCATCACATTCCTCCTGAGAGGCCTGTGGGGTGTGTTCACGCCCAGGGGACAACACACAACCGCTTCAGGAACCACAGACCCACACACGTCGACCACAACACCTCTACGTCTCAGCGATGCAGGTGGCGGCGCCTTCAGGGTGGTTTGTAGCCCGCCACTAAAATCAAAGAAGAACAGTTAATGATGAAAGTAAGATCAGCCTTCAGACGACCAATCACCTCCTTCATTATGCTGCTTCCTGTTCTTCACTTGGCGGCTGACAAACCAACGTTCACGACCGCCACCTACTGGAGTGTGTGATTTGGCAGGTGTAGTACCTGCCCACTCATGCCGCCAATATCCTTACAGAACCAGTTCAGATCTGTGTGGTTCTCAGTGGGAACCTGAATTCTGGATTCTGAACAGTTCTCCGTCGGTCAAAAAGCCACGTTTCAGAGCGGTGGGAGTGAAGCGGGTCGGACACTTCCAGTTCGACGTCATCGCTTGGAAGTACTTTGAGTTCCTAAGTGGTATGGTTAGCTACGGGGTCTGGTTAGCTACGGGGTCTGGTTAGCTACGGGGTCTGGCAGCGGTGGAAAGTAACCATTTACTCATGTAGAGGTATGTGAGTACTGGTACTGCTGGTACATTTGTACTTTTAGTTGTAATAGAGTACTTTTACACTGTGGTATTGCAGTACTCTCCTTCCGCCACTGGAAAGAACAAAAGAAGCCGAGAGTCCTGTGAACTTAATCTGTGATGTTTGGATTTTATTTATTTCTATCTGGTTTCACTCCGCTTCACGTGTAAACACTGAATGTATGTGAGGAGGGATTTAAAAGTATTTGGGTTAAAATGCGTTTGCCCTCCAGCTGCAGACTGAAGCTGCTTGTTGTGTGTCTCTTCGTCTCTCGGTGAGACCCGTGCGGTGATGCCCGGTAGAGTCTGCTTCCACATTGTGCCCATCTGCTAACTGTCCTGTGATCTCTGGCTCTGTCTGCAGCAGCTAACAGACGAACAGTCGGGACGTGAAACCAGAAGAAACCTTTGTCGTTCTGCTTGTGTCTGTTTGTGTCTAAACAGCTGGTTGGTTTGGCTAACGGCAGCTCTACGGCAAGCCGGGCCCTCAGGCTGACATCAGCTCCCAGGCATCCCTACTGCCTGAGGTCTGTGCTATGCAGGCCGCTCGCTCACCTAGACACACACACACACACACACACACAGTGGGATCAGAGCCAGTATCTGTGGCCACCATCTTGTCTGTGTGTGTTTCTGTTTGCCGTCTTTGTGACTCGAGGCTGTGCTGACACAGCACACAGCACACACACACACACACACACACACACACTCTCTTTGCCGTTTCGTGCTGTGGGAGCTGGCACCAAGAGAAACATGCACGCTCACTGGGGTCAGAGTCCAGTGAACCTCAGCCCACTTGTCAAATCCAGATCCCTTAGCGAGTCTCACTAACTTTGACTCTCCTGAACCAGCTAAAGCCGTTAATTGGTGCAAGTCAAAGCTGTGACTGTGACCGCGCTGCGGTGTTTAACGGGCGGCTGGTCTGTAGCGGCGACCTGCCAGGGAGCTGAGCCACAGCATGAATCAGCGACTGATACCGATTCCAGTGACTCTCACCTGATTCACAGCCCTGAGCTTAACGAGCTCCACTGTGACTGGATCACAGCGTGGACAGGACTGGGACTCGGTCTTCACTGGCCAGCTCCTCATCTCTACACGCTGTTGAACTACACACACACAGCGACGTGTGGATGAAGCTCTCGAACCCAGAGGTGACCACGCTCCACTGCACCACCCTTCCTGTTAAACCACATATTATATCACCGCTAACCTGAACATGACATCAGCAACACTAGAGGTCACGGTTACGCCACGGCCTCTCTGCAGGGATCAGTTCAGACACCGTCATGTTGTTGTTCAGGCGTCTGCACACAAGTGACAGGTGCTTTTTCAGACACGAGACCAACATGTAACATCACCACAACATGTGCATGACAAAGTGCGCTCTGACTGTTCTGTGTCGGGGAGAAGCCGCCGTCACCGCTGAGAAGCTTGGTGGCACTGAGTTTGTGTGCAGACGTTATGATGTGATCATTGGTTTTAGTGCCAACGCCGGTGGAGCCAGTTGTCATAAACTGGAACAGAAGCCTGGGTCACAGGGGTGAGGGCAGCTGGACCCGGAGTCCGTCCTACACCCAGAGACCTCACCTGATGAAGCACCTGTGTGGTGACATCACAGGCGTGGCAGTGGCTTGTTTATACATGAGCGTCCTGGGCGCGTCGTCCCATTCAGGTGAAACAATCTCACCGAGCTGGGGCACAGAGAAATGTCCTGGGAGGAAATGTTTTAACACAGAGACACAGTCCTAAAGCTCCATCGAAGCCTGTTGTTCTGTGTTGGCCCCAGTGCCAAACAGTCACATGTCCAGATCCAAACCAACCAGTCCGTCTCTGACTTCCTGTCTGTCCTGTCTGTGGCTCTCAGCTTACATGACGTCGGGTCCTACTGACGATGGACAGCTTTAAAAACACAGCAGCTGCTCACTGAAGTTTTTAACTAAGAGGAGGAAGTACTCCATTTGTTACGATACGAAGACGAGAAGGATGAAAACCAGTGTCAGTCGTTGTCGGTCGGGGCTTTTTCCAGGGTTTGGTGGTTTCACATTACAGTAGAGATGAAGCTCGGAGCCGTCCGATCAATAACCACCACCCCTCTGCTCTTTGTTGGGCATGGACAGAGACCAACACAGGTGGTGAGAAGCCCAGACCAAAGGCCCCCGCCCCTCCTCTATCGGACCCTCAGACTGAAAGATACACAACTGTTGCACTGTTTGTGGTCACTGTGCACCCATTTGTGTGTTTCCTGTGGCCCCCTCCCCCCCGGGCCTGTTCAGTAACGCACACATTAAATGTTGAACTAGGAACTATTGTTGTGTTCACTTTGTTCTTCAGTGTGAAGGTTTTTAACAACAGCTTGGTGTCGACACACAGACACTAACAGTTCATCACAGAACAACTGGTGTTTAAAGGCCTGAGGCGTGGGCGTGCGACACAGACTGACAAAGACAAAGAGAGAGAGAGATACATGACAGACGGGAGGAGAGAGAGAGCAGACAAACAAAGGAGAAAAGGAAGAAGAAGAAGCTGAGAGACAATGGGAGGAAAAGTAGAAAGGTGAAAATGAGACGGGTTTCCACGGCAACGGGGAAACAATAACAGGACAGGAATGTAAAGGGGGTGGAAATATGAAAGAAAGGAAGGGGGGGAGGAATGACGGAAGGAGGAGGAGGAGGGGTTAGGGAACTGTACTGAAAGGACAGAGAGAGAGGCAGTGCTCGAACGCCCAGGAGGAGGAGGAGTAGACAGAAGAATAAAAAGGGAGAGAGAGATGAAAGAAAGTGGACGAGTGTTTAAAGAGGAGAGTCAGGAGGAGGAAAAGGGAACGGTAAAGATTAAAAAGAAGAAGCTGAAAAGAAAGAACAACATGAGACAGGAAGGAGAGGAAACAGCAGGAAAAAGGAGGAATAATAAGAGAAATGAGATGAGGGAGGAAGAAGAAGAAACAAAAAGGAACAAAGGAGAAGAATGAGGAAGGTGAAGAGAAGGAGGAATGATCAAACCATGAAGAGAAGAAGAAAGAGGAGAGATCCAGTTTAAAAAGTGAAATAATAAAAGGAGAGCAGGAAATGAAAGGTGAACACGAAACAAAGATGAAAAGATAAAGATGAGAAGGAATCAAGATTCAAAAAGTAAAGAAGAGCAAAACAGGAGAGGAAGAAACAGGAAAGAAAACATTAAGGTTTGACAAGAGAAGAAGAGGAGGAGAGTGAAAGAGCAAGAGGACAGAAGGAAAGTGATGAGGGAGGGATGAGAGAGGAAAGGACCAGAAGGGAGGAGAAGAAAATCCAGCAGTGGAAAAAGAGCAGGAACGGGGGAAAATGAAGGGAGGGAGCGCTGGAAAAAATGGAGGGGGGGAAGTGGTTTGACCTTAAGGAGGAGAGAGAGAGAGAGAGAGAGAGAGAGAAGGCCACAGGCGAGTTCTAAACCTCAGGGTTCGTTTCTTCATACGTCCATAATCTCATCTGGACCTGTTGTCATGGCAACAAGCCCTCAAACTGCAGCTGGATCAGAACGTCAGCGTTCGTGCATCACTCATCGCCGGTTTACCAGCGACCAGCGGAACAAAATAACAACCTTAATGTAGAAACGCGTGGATCTGTGGCCCCAGTGCATGCTGGGACATTCCCTATACACCATGCAATACTGTGCTCATTTTGTTTCATTTCAAAATAAGAGCTCATTGTTACCTGGCGTTAGCCAATCAGTGCCCACATGAGCTGGCGAGCACTTAACAGTTCATGAGGCCGTGTTTAAACTGGCTCCAGCTGGAAAAGCAAAGCGTCTCTGTACTGAACAGGTTCTTGTGGTTGTGTCTGACCTTGTTCTCCATTTGACTGTCCTCAGGTGGAGTGGGCGGAGCTGCGTGATGGCGGGTGCGTCAGTGAAGGTGGCGGTGCGAGTCCGCCCGTTCAACTCCAGAGAGACGTGTCGCAACGCCAAGTGTGTGATCCAGATGCAGGGAAACACCACCTGTAAGAGACGACACAAACCACTGGCTTTCTGTGCTCGTGAGGACCCTCTGTGTCATAACGCCTCCCTTAGCGCCCAGCTGACACACACACACACACACACACACACTAATGCCATGGCTCTACTGCCACTGGGACCCGTCCCTCCTCAGGCCAGCTGGTGGATTGGCTTCCTACCCTCCATCTCAGACACTTCCTGTTGCTCAGATTTCCTGTCTGCCTGTCAGACTGCAGTGACGTAGACAGCCGGGTCGGGGGCTCGAACCCCGGTGCACTATGGCTCCCAGTGGAAGTGGAGTGACGGCATCAACCTCTCGACCTGTCGAGTCTGTGAAGCTGGTGAAACAGTGTCAGCGATAAAATGTTTACGTGTTAATTCTTTGCTTGTGAGATGTATGAACGAGACCAGATGTAGCCACCAGACACCTGGTTAGTCCTGGGGACCCCGACCAGAGGAAGAGGATGACAGTCGGCTTCCTGCTGCAAAGAGACGATGAAGGACCACAGAGTGAAGCTAGACTCCTGTGTTAATGTGCAGGTGGTTGAAGCAGTAGCCTGTGATTGTCACTAGTAAATGAGACATACGTCCTGGTGCCGTCTCTTCTTCTAAAGCCCAAATCATTTCTCCAGTTTTACGAACAAATCCCACAAACAAAACAAAACCTGATTCTGTCCTTTGGTGAATAAAATGTTACTCCCGTCTAAAACGAATCCACACTGGTTTTAATGAACGAAGGATTTATTCCCCAGTGTTTTTGGATTAGAGCTTAGCATGTGTTAAACTGGCCTGAGCGGTGCCACGAGGCCTCTGCCCGTCATGTGACCTCTGAACCTGCTACTGAAACTCACACACAGTTTATTAATAGGCTCTGGTGCAGCAGCTGTGTGAACACGCTCACCTCACAGACACCGATACACCGAGCCTGTTGATGATGGCTGTAGTCCGAGTCATATTTCTGGAAGATGTTGGTGTTGTCGCATGTGGATTTCACCTCCATCTTGTCCACCCAGCGGTACTCTGCTACTGTGACAGTCTATACTAACCGTCTACACACTTGTCATGTTGTGCATCATAAAACAAGGTGCACAAGGTGTTTGATAGTTCGGTACATTCCAGGCATCTCCAACCCCAAACAGCCCAAAGATGGAGCCAAGAACTTCACCTTCGACTACTCCTACTGGTCACACACGACGGTGATCACTCCCTCTACCACACACACACACACAGGTACATTCTTAATAACCCAGATGCAGAAATGACCAGAGGAAAGTTTGTGTTTCTGCAGGCTGAGGACCCCGGCTTTGTGTCTCAGAGGCAGGTCTACAAAGATATCGGAGAGGAGATGCTGCTGCACGCCTTCGAAGGTAAAACGGTCCGATGTCTGCCGCTCACTCTCCTCACTGATCCATCACGTTGTCAGAGGACTCAGCACTGAGCCAAACACAGTGACAGTCATAAAGACAGTAGTGACGATGCTACAGATTTCAGTTTGATGCAAACACCACTGATCACAGCAACACTGATGCTAAATGTGGCTAATAGTGCCAGAGGTTAACCGCCATTAAAAGCCAGGCTAAGTTTTCATTTTGGATCAGTTGGTTTGTCAGCCTGAACCAATGCCAATAAATGACGACTTGAGGAAAACGTGAGACATTTTGATGGACAGTTAGTGATCAGTTGGTTTGTCGGCGTGAACCAATGCCAATAAATGACGACTTGTTGTTTTTCAGGATATAATGTGTGTATTTTTGCATACGGCCAGACGGGTGCAGGAAAGAGCTACACCATGATGGGCAAACAGGAGCCTGGACAGGAAGGCATCATACCACAGGTGACGCCGAGTGTCTGACCTACTGACGGTGGATTCATGGCTCTGTGTCAGGACAGAAACACAATGATACTTGACCAAAAGTTTAGAACCTCTGAAGTCCAGCGCTGAGAAAACTGTATTTCTAAAAATCAAACTTCTGAGTCTAAAAGTAAAAACATTCAACAGTTGATCTCTTGTTGCGTCATCATGACAGTTTTCTTTTCCTACTGTTAGAAAGTTGAGACTTTGGAAACGTGACGGGTCCAAATGTGCACATGAGAGTAATCTGGACCCGACCCCAACAAGCTCATTTTGAACAAGCGTATTCTAATGGGTTGTGGACAACTGCTGGGCCACGAGCTAGAAGCACAAACAAGGCTGAACCAAAGCTCCAGGGAGAACGTTTTAATGATAGGTCAGTTTTAATTAAGCACAGGAGTAAAACAAGGCTTACTTTTTAGTCTGAGTCGGGAGAATGAGAGGCAGAGAGAGTCTGAAAAGGAGGTCAGACACATGGAAACAGTCCAAATACAGCAGTGACACCGAGGGAGCAGGCGAGAGGCAGAATCCACCAAACAAACACAGTCCAAACCAGCAGGTTACTCAGGAACAGGTGGCCAGAACCGGAAGCACAGCAGACCAACCTGCAACCAGACAGGAACCACACAGGCTCATACACTGAGTGAGACTAATCAGGGTAAGTGGATACAGAGTGTGAGAGGCAGAGCTGGAGGGAAGAGCCAGGGGCAGCTGGAGGCTGGATGGGGAACGTCCAGAGGAACAGAGCAGGAGAAACATGGGCTGGAGACGGAGCAAGGCTGGGACATCTCATCTTTAGAGGAGGGTCCTGAGCCACCAACCTCCTGCAGAACGATGGAGGAAATGTGGTTTAGATCAGAGTCCACAGGGCACAGCGCCGTTGAACTGAATTTACAGGGTACTTACTGTAACACTGATGTACCAGTACATACTGGGAGGTACAGAGGAACAAGATGTGGGGAGTAACTGGAAGCAGAAACGTAAAGTAGATTAGTCAGAGTCGTCAGTCTCCACGTGGACCTGACGTAGTTTTTGGCAGGTCACAGCCAAACCTTGGAAACACTTTGATGCAGAGTCATGAATCCCCTTGTAGTGGAGGACCTGTCCAAACTGGCTGTGACCGGGTTCACCGACATCCGAGACCTGATGGACGCCGGCAACAAAGCCCGGTCAGTCTTCTTCCTGCGGACAGATGCCAGGACACAGCATCCACATAATTACACAGCTCAGCAGAATAAAAGTAGCTGCTGAGGGAACTGGTGCTGAAACAGGGTTTAGTTAAAACGTTTAGGCTGCAGCTGATGTTTGTCATAAGATGATCTACCGATTGTTTGGTCTAGAGAACACTGACAAAAACAAACCAGAGTCGACGTCAATGGTCCTTATTGTCAGCGACTGACTGTGTTCGTTATCGATCACAGGACGGTTGCAGCCACGAACATGAATGAGACGTCGTCCAGGTCACACGCTGTCTTCACCATCGTCTTCACCCAGAAACGACGAGACCAGTTGACCAGTCTGGACACTGAGAAGGTGTGTGTGTGTGTTAGGTCCTTGTGAGGACTCGGCGCCCCACAGCGGTTAGTCAGGCTTTTATTTTCAACCTAAAGGTGACAACTTTCTCCTCAGGTCAGTAAGATCAGTCTGGTCGACCTGGCTGGGAGTGAGCGAGCCGACTCATCAGGGGCGAGAGGCACCAGGCTCAAGGTCAGAGTTGTCTCGTCAGTGTCCATCTAAATCTGCCTTGCATTTACTTCATATCTCCTCTATGCTTGTTGTACGTTTGTGTACAGGAAGGAGCGAACATCAACAAATCTCTGACCACGTTAGGAAAAGTGATATCAGCCTTAGCCGAGATGGTAGGACTACACACACCTTTAGTACTCAGGAGGAAGAGCACAAGATTTTAGTTTTTAGTGAAAAGCAGACAAATCTCTTCCAGACGTTACAGTGAAGCCTGACTTTCCTCTTCTCTCCTCCACAGCAGAGCAATAAGAAGAGAAAGAGCGACTTTATTCCCTACAGAGACTCTGTTCTCACCTGGCTACTGAAGGAAAACCTGGGTAAGCACAGCCAGTATCGGGGGCAGCAGCACTGCAGTGACAGCTGAGCTACGGTAGGATCAAGACCAGCTGCTTTGAAATAAACAGTACCAGGTTTAATTTGAAGACACGTGTTCTCAGAATGCTAATAGAATTAGTGACACCAGGTCTAGAACTGGAGCAGCTTTACACAGAGACCAACAACAGCAGCAGTAGACCTGGTACTAGACCAGGTCTATCACACCTGGGGCCTCAGCTGGCACAGGTAGTAGTGATGGTAAAGCTACTGTCAGGGCTGGTAGCAGCAGAGTTATACTGTAGTATCAGGCTCAGTATGAGTTAACAGTTTCACTGTGTGCTCATTTCAGGGGGAAACTCCCGGACGGCCATGATCGCTGCTCTTAGTCCTGCTGACATCAGCTATGAAGAAACACTGAGCACTCTGAGGTCAGAAACCGGTGTCTGTCCGCCGTCATCTGTCGGACGTGGCTTCATTTTGTCACGTATAGATTAGTAAAAGCTAAACAAGTCGGTGTCTTCTAGTGTGATCCAGTCTGTTTCTGTTCAGACCATGGCCCTGTTGTCCACGTTAGTCTGACTCAGTGCGATGTGGTTCCAGGTACGCCGACCGCGCCAAACAGATTCGTTGTAACGCTGTGATCAACGAAGATCCAAATGCCAAACTGATCAGAGAGCTGAAGGCCGAAGTGGAGCGGCTGAGGAACCTGCTGTTCTCCCAGGGCCTGCAGGAGCTGCTGGGCAACGCCGGTACACTCCCAGTGCACGGTGTGCACGCAGTACGCTGTGTACAACGTTACACATTCACCTTACTGCTACTCACTTATAGTAGTATATACTCTGATAGTACACTGTGTAAACCGTACTTATACACATAAAACTCCATATGTGATACATTGTAGTGGTTTACACACATCACTGTGTAACCATACTGGTCCATGTTGGTACATTAGACTGGTGTGCACCCATTATACAGCAGACTGGTATTTACACATGCATGGTATTATATATGTAATACTGCTACACACATTTTGTACATTATACTACTAGTTACACACTATAATGAATAAGTTAAAGTACACAAATGTTACACAGTAGATACAGTACAAATATATGAACTCAGACGGTTTGTATACGATGTGTGTGTTTATGTGAGCGTGGTGTGTCTGGCACGTCTATGTGTGGTATGTTTAGAGGCGGGTATTTACAGACAGTGGCAGCTGTGTGTGTGTGTGTGAGAGTGTGTGTGTGTGAGAGAGCTGATATTTACAAGCTGTTCTCCACATACCCAGAATAGCCGACATTCCTACTTGTTAAAACATGAAACCTGACTCTAGCTCCACTTTCCCTCCGTCTCTCAAAGTCGCCAACAACAGCAGCCAGAGCGGTGCTGCAGGTGTGCCCCCCTCCCCACTGCAGCTGGCTCTCGCAGCCAACGGGGTCGCGCCTAAGAACGGCTCCGCCCTCCCAGGTGACTGTGTAGACAAAGTAGAGGCTGAACAACGGCACTGAAATCTGATGCTGCCTCTTTACTAACTGAACTTCACTCACATGCACTTCCTCTCAGGTGGGTGGGCTGAGCCGGCGTCTGCAGGTGACGTAGATGCTGACCCCGACATCCTGATGGAGAACAGAGACGAAGGAGAGGAGGTGGTCGCTACGGAGACCATCAGTAAAGAGGAAGCGGCCGAGAGACTGCTGGTACGATCAGATGCTGCTGACAGACTGGAACTGAAAGCCAACCATCGGGCTGAGAACACACAGACGTGATACACACATTTTTAGATCCAGTGGGGCCGACGCTACACAACATTATCTCTGACGTCCCACATGAAGAAACATCCATACAGAGAAAAAGATGTTCCTTAAAACTGCACAACCTCATTGAGAATGATCAGGATTTTGAGTTTTGTCTTGCTTTTATCCGCGGTGGATGTGTTGGACTTTGAAACCTGACGTGAGCTTGTCTGTCGGTGTTTTGTAGGAAACGGAGAAGATCATCGCTGAACTGAACGAAACGTGGGAGGAGAAACTAAGAAAGACAGAATCTATCCGTCTGGAGAGGTAACATCACCAGTTGAGCTTCTTTCATACCTGCAGTCGTTTTGGATTTCAGTTGTATTTAAGTGGGTGGTTTTACTTCTGCTGGTGTAGTTTAATGGTTAGTGTCTGTGTCCGTTGATCCCACTCTGCTGTGGACTGTCAGGGTGAGATGATTCACACAAACAGAGCACAGCAGTCGACCGTTTACACCTCACGCAGCCAGACCGAACCACTCCTAAGAATCCGGTGCATACACACAACACTCGGTGCAGACCTAAGGTTTAAGAGCCGATGTTGAATCATTCAAATATCACAATGCAAGCACAAAGATCGATCTCAGGAATTTAAGAGTCGATGTTGAATCATTCAAATATCACAATTAATCTGAATTTGTTTTATCCAGAGTACCTGGGCTGCTGTCTGGCCACACAGGACTCTACATCCAGGTCAACTTGCCGGCCGACCTGACGTCCATCCTGTGCGGTTTGCTGTAAAGACAGCAGCCCAGATACTCTGGGTCTGGTATCTGTGTTCCTTCTGACTCTGAGATGAGTGTGAAAAATGATTTGACTGAAGTCTTGTTTCCTCCTCGCTCGCTGAGGCTGGTTTACCTGGGGACGCCGTTGAAGGCAGCTTTTTGTTTCCCAGAGTCTCTACATCAGTGGCAGTGATAGAGACCCCCTTCCCACATTTAGAGGACATGCAGCAGTACTGTGTCCATCTGCTTCCTGTTCCTCCAGTTCTCCTGATGTTCCCTAAATGCAGCATGATCACTGAAACCAAAAGAAAGAGCTACAGAATGATGAGCGCTGTCACTAACAGAACCTCTCTCTCCATGTCTCTGTCGCTGTTGTTCGCCCAGAGAGGCCCTGCTGGCGGAGATGGGCGTGTCCATCAAAGAAGATGGAGGAACACTGGGCGTCTTCTCTCCTAAAGGAGTGAGTCCTCGTGTCTGTTGTTCACATTATGATTTCTGTTGGTTCGTCTCTGTGAGCGGTTAAACCAGTTTTGGCACATTTGACCATAGCGATAACTGAGAACGCTCTGCGAGCGTTTGGTCTGCTGGGGGGGTGGGCTTCCTGCTTTGAGTCGCTTGATAAATCCAGACCCCAGTCATGTGTGACGACCGTGTCTGTAGCTGGATCGGCCCTGATAATGTGGCTGATGTTTCTGTCCAAGCATCAGTGGAGTTCACCTGTGTGTTGTCCCACTGCAGACGCCTCACCTGGTCAACCTGAACGAAGACCCGCTGATGTCAGAGTGTCTCCTGTACTACATTAAAGAGGGCTTCACCAGGTCAGACGCTGGGATTCTCTGTTTGGTGCAAACCTCTGTGGGCTTGGCTTTGATTAGACTCAGTCCAGTTCAATGTCACTGTGGAACTCAGGTACCGCCACAGAAGTAAGATCATCCTGTTTCTGTCTGTGTTTCAGGGTGGGACAGCAGGACGTGGACATCAAGCTGTCCGGCCACTTCATAAAGGAGATTCACTGTGTGTTTGTCAGTGAGACCAACGAGCAGGGGGAGGGTGAGACGTCGTGTGCTTGTTATTCTCTGACATACAGGACAACATTTCGATTAAATCCACCTGAAGCTCGTGAGCCTTTGGTCACATAACTAGACAAACACACTGCTGAAGCTGAGGCGGTGAATGTCACGGTGTCGTCCAGTCAGACTGAGCCAAGTCTGGACGGAGAGCTGCAGCAGTCCCAGTCCAGTTGTTGTCTTCCTGTCAGTTTGTGGGGTTAGAGCGCCCCCCAGTGGTCAGACTGAGGCAGCTGCAGCTCAGACGCCCGACGCCCTCAGGGGCTTGTTCCACACAAGCATCCGAAAACACACAAAGTCTGCAGTGAACTTGTGAAGCGTGTGTATGTGTGTGTGTGTGTGTGTGTGTGTGTTCAGTGGGTGACTCTTTCTTCTTCTCTTTCTGTAAAAGCTGCCAGGACGTCTATCAGGTATCGTTTAACAGTCACTGTTACTAGTTACCGTGGTGACCCCCCAGTATGCTGTGTGTGTGTGTGTGTGTACCCACCTGTTGTGTGTTACTGTGCTCCAGTCTGCATGTACACGTGTTGCTTTGTGTCCTAACCTCTGTGTGTGACCTTCTTCTTCTGCAGTGGTGGTCACTCTGGAGCCGCTGCCTGGAGCTGAGACGTACGTTAACGGGAAGCAGATCAGCGAGGCCGTCGTCCTCAAACAAGGTGCCAGCTGTCAGGGCGAACAGGAGGGAAGGTTGGGGTGATGACAGTTTGACAGTTGACAACAATGGAAGGAAAGGAGGAGGAGGAGGTTCAGATCTGATCAATATCACTGCTTGTATTGATAATTACTGCCAATACAGTTCTCTAGCGATACTCTCAGTGGCTCCGGCTTTATTGCTGTGCAAATCCAACAGCTTATATTTGTAGTGGGTTTATAATTTGTGTAACTTCATTGACTTTTTACTTTTTTAATATAAGCTAATATTGTTCCTAAAGCAGCAGCAAAGTCACCGTGTAAACTCTCTGGAAACTGGTCTCACCCTCTTCCTGTCTGACCCCGTTGCTAGGTAACCGCATCGTGATGGGGAAGAACCACGTGTTTCGGTTCAACCACCCGGAGCAGACGCGGCTGGAGAGGGAGCGCAACGCCACGGCCGAGCAGCAGGCGGAGCCAGAGGACTGGAACTACGCCCAGAAAGAGCTGCTGGAGAAACAAGGCATCGACATCAAACTGGAGATGGAGAAGAGGTAGAACAGCAGCGGACTAGAGATGTCTTCATAACCTATCTGTCTTTTATCATCGTTAGATGTAGACGTTACCGACTGGTTGGCTGATGGTGCCAGTTAACTGGCTGCTGTGTGTTCCAGGCTGCAGGACATGGAGTCTCAGTACCGTAAAGAGAAGGAGGAGGCCGACCTGCTGCTGGAGCAGCACAGACTGGTAGGGTCCTGTTTGAGTCGCAGCAGCAGGTCCTGACAGGGAGGTCACAGCGTTCAACCTGTGTGTGTGTGTGTGTGTTTAGTACGCAGACAGCGACAGCGGCGACGACTCCGACAAACGCTCCTGTGAGGAGAGCTGGAAGCTGATCTCCTCCCTCAGAGAGAAGCTACCTGCCCACAAGGTGAACACACCTGTGTGCTGGAGGTTGTCAGGGCCTCACACAGAGGCAGGGGGGCGTAAGCATGAAGTCGACCGTTGTCACGGCTCAGCGAGTTGCACTGTGGGCTACAAGTTGAGCCTGTACTCTCTGCTTCTTATTAGTTTACATGTCAAGTGTCCCTGCATCACTGAGATACTGAAGGAAACAGCAGCACATTTGTCCTGTGGTTTCTAAACTGACTCATGGACGTGTTGATATCAGACATAAAACATCCTCCTTAAGCTGCAGGAAGTAAAATACATTTGTCATTAAAACCACAGTCAGATATTTTAGCTCCGCTGCCTGATGCCTGTGTGTCTGAGTCCAGGTGCAGTGCATCGTGAAGCGCTGCGGTCTGCCCAGCAGCGGGAAGAGGAGGGAGCCTCTCCGAGTCTACCAGATCCCCCAGAGGAGGAGGATCAGCAAAGACCCCAAACGGGTCACCATCGAAGACCTCCGCATGCAGGCCGTCAAAGAGATCTGCTACGAGGTCTCACACACACACATCAGTACACAACAGAAAAATGGAGCACGGCAGTATGTTCTTAAAAACATTAGCCAGTGACTGTGGTTTCTAAGTCACTGAACTATTCCACATTTAGGCAGAGGTGTGATGATCTTTTTAGCCTTTTCCTTCATTTGCCAGGTTATCGTTTAGGACATGGCATCATTTCCCCAGTAAACCCAGGAGCATCTGTATTTTTACAGACCTTGATTTTAAGTGTGCTGCTGTGTGTGGCGCCCCCCTCAGGTGGCTCTGGGAGACTTCCGTCACTCCCGTCAGGAGATCGAAGCGCTGTCCATCGTCAAGATGAAGGAACTGTGCCGCATGTACGCCAAGAAGGATTCCAACGAGAGGGAGAGCTGGAGGGCCGTGGCCCAGGACGTCTGCGACACTGTGGGCATCGGGGAGGAGAGGAGCCCCCCCACGGAGGAGGGAGGGGGAGGAGGAGAGACGGGAGAGGGAGGGGACAAAGGAAACGTGTATGACCTGAAGGCTCACATCGACAAACTGACTGATATTTTGGAGGTGAGTTCTGCACAGTCACAGTGGAAAGGCGGCCTCATCCACACTAATAACAGGTGCTAACTGCAGTCAGTGGATGTGTCACACGTCGCTGGAAGGACAGTCTTCCTCCTCCTCCTCCTCCTCTGGTGTCGTCTTATGACTTCTGAGTGGCTGGAAGGTGTGGATTAACTTGTAGTAACTGCACAGTTTACTCTGACTCTTCCAGGAGGTGAAGCTGCAGAACAACATGAAGGACGAGGAGATCAAGGCTCTGAGGGACAGAATGATCAAGATGGAGAGCATCATACCTGTTCAGGTGCGCTGACATCACGTCCTGTCCACCAGCTGCTCGTCTTTCACTGACTGCTGTTTGACTCCATTTTCCTCTCGTTTCCAGGATGACGATGTGAACGGCGAAGGAGGCGGGTCTCCTCAGAGGGACGGGGCCGGCGACAGCCCCAACCCGCCAGAGGCCAGAGTTCAGCGGCTGATGGATGAAGACCCGGTGTTCAGGAGAGGACGCCTCCGCTGGCTGAAACAGGAACAGCAACGAATCCTGAACCTGCAGCAGCAGAACATCACCAAGAAACTGCGAGGACAGAACCAGAACCAAGGTCAGCGGGTGGATGAGGGTTGACCCCAGCCCACTTCACTAATTAAATCTGAGTTAACCCGTTATGAGGAGCTACATCTAAAGCAGGAAGTGTTGTCTGTTTGTTCAACTCCTGTCTGATGACTCCCCCCTCCTGCAGGTCAGAACTCCCCCACGGTTCCCATTCATCTCCCAGGGACCGGACGCTTCATCCCTCCCCAGGAGTGCAAGCTTAAGTTCCCCTTCAAGAGTAACCCCGCCCACCGGTTGTCATGGGGATCAGCCAGCGCCACCCTGCAGGCTCTGGGTCTCGAGGGGGGAGGAGAAGATGAGGGAGAGCAGGGGGAGGAGGGAGGAGGAGGAGTGGACGGTAAAGGTTCTCCCTCACCACCTCCTCCTGTCCAGCGTCAGTCTCCTGCTCTCTTGCCCCCCCCCTTCCAAGCCCCACCCCCTCGCATGCGCACCCCTAGCCCTCATCGCGCCTGGCAACAGCGTAACCACGGCAACCAGGGTAATCAGGGTGGCTTCTACTACCATCACCAGGGAAACAACCAAAACCAACAGCGCCGCTACCGTCGCAACTCTCTGGACAGTTCCAACCATGGCAACGGTCACTACGACAACAGCCAGCATGACGGAGGTGGTAGCGGTGGCAGTGGCAATAGTGGCGGTCACCAGGGGCGACCGAGACAGAGGAGGGGGGTGTCACCTGGGCCAGGGGGGGAGAGAGGAGGAGGGAGGGACAGAGACAGAGATGGAGGCTTCTATTATAGTCAGCACCAGTACCAGCAGTACCATCACAATCCCTACTACAACCCCCTCAGTGCACCATTCCAGCCAGGACCTCACCCCAACTTCCACAGCCTGCCGCACCCTGGGCCCCTGCCCCCTCCTCCTGACATGCTGCTGGGCATGGTGCCACCGCCAGGGGGGTGGGGCTTCACCACCCCACCCAGGATGAGGCGGCAGTTCAGTGCACCAGACCTCAAAAACAACAAGGAGACCCCCATCTGACCTCGGACACAGGGAGGTCTCTGATTGGCTGTGGGACACAGGGTGGTCCTGATGCTGTAGAGAATAGGCTGTGTGTGTGTGTGTGTGTGTATGTGTGTGTGTGTGTGTGTGTGTGTGTGTGTGTGTGAGCACTTTTACTACACTGATCGGCCCTTCACACACCATCTAACATCACACTTCTTGTAACTTCAGTCCTGCTGTGTGTGTGTGTCTGGATTCTTTTTGTTAGCACAGGTTAGCTGTTACCATAGCGACACTGTTTTTAGGAAAAGTGGATTATTTTATTTTTTGCCAATTGTTGAGCTGTTAAACAGGAAGTTTATTATGTGTTGATGTAGGTTTACTGATATTTTGGTCTTGATTGTTTAGAACAAGGTGCCTTAAAGCTGAAGCGTTAGCTCCCGGGGCTAGCTCCTGTTAGCAGAGGCCATTTGTTGAAGCCGTTTTTTTTTTTAAGATGAAGTGCATTGGTTTGTTTTTCCTGGACAGGGTCAGTGTTTGTAATTTAATAGACTTGAGTTTTAGCTCCTCTGTTTCAGCCGCTATTAGCCCAGGAGGCTAACTGGCCTAGTTCAGCCTGAGTGGTCAGTGTTAGCTTGAGCTAATAGTGAGTTAGCCAGAAAAGGGCGCAATAGACAACTGTCTGCTGTTTCAGGCTGATAGGTTACATGGTGAAGTGTTAACAGTTTAGCACAGGTGAAAGTATTAGCTTAGCCTAGCCTAGCCAAGGCGGCATTCGTGTTTTATGGGAATTATGGTTTGTACGAACACAAAGAATTTAACTGAAAGCTTTTTATGTACTGAAATATTTCCCATGTTACACCAGAAGGCGACCTGAACTACCACTGATCACTGGTCAAAACAAACAGACTAGGGAGACCTGCCGTTAGAATTATAGCCTGTCCAATACTGGATTTTTGACAGATATCGGCTTCAGAAAATAAAACCTAAGGATACACCAGTCAACAGTCATAGTTTCTAAATGACCATGACATGTTTTTGGTATTTCAGTGCTCACATTTCATTTAAGTTTCATAAAGTCACTGTAAATAAAATGTTTAACTCACAAAGGTGCATTTACTGTAGTAAAGCTCACGTATTGGACTTCAAACAAACACGGTGTTTACGCGTCTCCCACATGAAGACGGTTGGAGAACATTCCTCTCCAGGCTTCAAGCTCGTATTTACCGTCTCTCCCATGTGACCTGAATGCTGCGTTGCTGAGTGCTACAAACCAAAGAAGGCTGCTGTGTGGCGCCCCCTGCAGGAGAGCAGAGCGCTGGCAGGCACTGCTGTACAGACAGATGGAGGGTAGGGATGTTACCTGGAAAGCAAAAGGATAAAAAGATGGTTTAGAGTAAAGTGTGAGGAGAGGACGGAGAAGAGCAGGTGTTGTGGTTGTGAAAGTTGAGACTCACGTTGAATCTTTTTAAAGTGTTGTGTGTATATTTGAAGTGTTTTTGTTTTTATGAAGACGAATCGATTTCCAAACAGGCTGCAACATATGAAACATGATGGGCTCACCGTCTCTGGCAATCATCAGAGATAACTGACATGCGATGCCTCACGTGAGATGTAGGAATCAAGATGGATTACAATTTATGTAGGGCTGTGAAAGCAAGGAACTGTGGGTAATGTAGTGTGAGAGAGGGGGATTAGAGAGAAGAGTGAAGATGGAAAAGTGAGATGCTTAAAAAAAATCTTGAGATTTGACGTTTTGTTTTTGAAGTAGGAACATAGCCTACAACATGTTCTGGGTGACAGTAACTTCCTCCTGGGAGGAGGCACTACGTACCTGACGCTACGTACCTGATGCTACGTACCTGATGCTACGTAGTACTTTATGTCCACATCAGTTGTGACAAGAAGGGGAATAAACTGCTGCCTCACTGAGATGTCAGGAAGTTGATACGTGCGGCTTCTTCAATCTGAATGAATTGATGTTGCATTTAAAGTCACTTTAAAAATGTTTAACACATTTAGTGGCAGATGTTTTTTTCTACTGTTGCCAACTGGGCAGTCGTGTTCCCACATTTTCTTCAGACCTTTTCCATCATTGTTGTTTTTTCTTTAAGGTGCCATATAACTAATCAGCTTCTGTCAGAAGCAAAGATGCTCAGCACACCTCAGTCTAAGGTGTGATCCTCAAACTGATGTTTCAGTCCACAGATACTTCAAAAGTCGGAGGGATTTGCTGTAATGATGATGACAAAAAACACAGGAAGTGATTGTGATTGGCCCGAGAAGCATGACATCAGCAGAAGTTTATGTTCGCCTTGTTTTGCTCTGCTGTCTCTGGAATCGACCAATCACAGGACAGTCCTGCTGCCACTGCTGGGCTTGATGGGAAACTTTCTTCTTTATCTTTTTTTTATACGGTTTGTTTTTCTTCTTTCGTGTTTTCATTTGCTTCTTGTCCTCAGTATTTTAACCCCGCCTACTTGTCTGACTTTTGCTTTATGATGTCATCACTATTATTAAGAATAATATGATTTTAAAGTTACGTGTCAATACTGGGCTCTTGGATGCTGCTATGGGAGCTTCGTTGTGATTGTGTATGTTGGACATCTGTGTGGGGGGGTGTGCACACATTTGCAGGTTCATTTAGTTTTATTTTACTTTATTATGCTTATTTTATTGTTTTCCCTCTAATTGTCTGTTTAGTTTTGTTATTTTGGAGATTTGGGGAGGAGGCGGGGCATAAGATGGGGGTGTTACCATGGCAACTGGGCTCGGCAGAACCCCAGAACATTCTAGAACTCCCCGCCCATTCCTCTGGCACCTCTGCTCCAATCACAGCCTCTGAATCTCTGACATCACAGCATGATGTCACTTCAGGACTCTGGAACACAAGCGTGATGACATCATGGTGCAGCCCTCCTATTGGCCCAGAGCTCCTGTTGTTTTTCTGTCCATGCCAAGTTGTTGTGTCTGTTTTTGTTGTATCAGGAACCAATCTCAGGCTCTACCTGCCGACAACAAGATGACAATAAACTGTCAGTGAGAATGAAAATGAAACAGGAGTCCTGCTTCACGAGGTCCACACGCTATGGTGGCTCAGAGCGCTTGAACCACTGGAGATGAGGGAAACACCTTCAGTCTGACCGCGTATATACAGTACAACATAACACACCACAAATGGTGGTGGAAGAAATACTCACATCCTTTAATCCAGCAAAAGTACAAGGTCGAATACTCAAGTACAAGTCCTGAAGTATTATCAGCTAAAGAAACTTAGTTATAAACGAAAGTGCGTAAGCAGCGTCTTACTGATGCAGCTGCTCAAGGAGCAGCTAGTTTAACGGTCCAAACGTAGGGGTCGAGTCCTCCGAAAGGTCGCCAGATAAATCTGAGGGTGATTAAAGAAGGAAAATGAGACTTTAGTCCAAACTGGACCTTTTTTGTTAAATGTAGTTTACATCTTTGGACGTCACAGAAACACTGTGGGATGTTTAGAGGAAAACGCCTTTTTATGGAACTGACAACAACGCAAACACGTGAAACAGACGTCTGACAAGACAGAGACTGGGAGGAGTCCATGTACCTAGTTATACACATCACACACAGGGCGATGAATACAGCACAGAAAACATCCAAGGCTGAACAGAACAAAATGCATCGTTAGTGCAGCAGCTGTGAGGGAGGTCGCAGGCGCCTGTCGTCACCCTGACGGTTACTGTCCTGTAAAACAGAAAACACTTCTGATAGAGCAGAAACCACATCTCTGTGGCATGTTTGCTGAGTTTCCAAGCGTTTTGTTATGAGCCACCGAGCTGCAGTGGGTCAGCTGTGTTTTCAGCCAGGTGGTTTTTACCTGTGCATCACTGGTCCTGTTTGTCCACGTAGGAGCAGCAGCTTCATCACGTCTTCACAGAGGAAGTTAAGACATTTCCTTCATAACCACGTCAACGTGCCCTCACATCTGCTCTTGACTTTAGCATAAACTATTAGAAACAACTTTCATATCCTACTTCTAAATGTTATAAACAGCAGGACCTGACCTGACTGGTACTGGTTTTAAATGTTTTCTACTTTTATCATTTCTGATCTATTGTTACCCAGAGAATCATAAGGTTTACACACGAATCTGGGGAAAGTTGTCTGTATATTCACAGGTACATTGGGGCAAATAAGGATTTGATAAACCGCCAATTCTTCAAGTTCTCCCACTTACAGAGAATGGACAGTTCTGTAATGTTCATCGTAGGTACACCTCAACTGTGAGAGACAGAATCTACCACAAAATTCCAGTAAATCACATTGTTAGATTTTTAAATAATTTATTTCCATTTTATTGCATGAAATAAGTATTTGATCACCTACCAACCAGCAAGAAGTCTGGCTCTCACAGACCTGTTAGTTTGTCTTTAAGAAGCCCTCCTATCCTCCACTCATTGCCTGTATTAATTGCACCTGTTTGAACTCGTTACCTGTATAAAAGACACCTGTCCACACACTCAATCTATCAGACTCCAACTTCTCCACTATGGGCAAGACCAAAGAGCTGTCTAAGGACACTAGGGACAAAATTGTAGACCTGCACAAGGCTGGGATGGGCTACAGGACAATAGGCAAACAGGTGTTGCCCAGCGACAGCCCCAAAACCTGAAAGATCTGGAGAAGACCTGTATGGAGGAGTGGGCCAAAATCCCTGCTGCAGTGTGTGAAGAGCTGGTCAAGAACTACAGGAAACGTCTGACCTCTGTAATTGTAAACAAAGGTTTTGGTACCAAATATTAAATTCTATTTTTCTATTGTATCAAATATTTATTTCATGCAATAAAAGGGAAATGAATTATTTAAAAAAACTAACAATGTGATTTTCTGGAACTTTTTGTAGATTCTGTTTCTCACAGTTGAGGTGTACCTACGATGAACATTACAGATCCGTCCGTTCTCTGTAAGTGGGAAAACTTGGAAAATCATCAGTGTATCAAATCCTTATTTGCTCCACTGTAACACCCCAAACAGGAGCTGATAACTTTTACCTGTGACAATGACACAAAATGTGAGCAACAACACGGGCCCACGCTGGATCTGTGAAGTGGGAGGAGGGCAGCGTTCTCAGTTCTGTCTGAGGGGGGTACAGTGTGAGACTGAAAACCCCTGCTGTGAATTTTCACCCACAGCACTAATTCGTTCGTCCTCCAATCACAGCACAGCGTTAGCCTTCATCCACAGGTGAACAAGTGTGGCACACGTGATGTTTCTGTCCCGAACAGACAAACTGACTCAGTGCAGATGCCACAGGAAACATGAAAACCACGTGTTGAGTAACACGCGTTGGTGTAACAGAGCTACTGGGCATCATGATCTACTTTTTACTGGAGGCCTTGAACAGTCAAACATAAAACTGACACAGCTGGTGAGGAGAAAAGGGAACCGACGACGGAGGAGTCCGATATCAGCAGAGCCAGCACATCCCAGAGTCTTATCACACTTCCTGTGTCAAGACGCAGTCAGTCGAGCCTCACACACACACACACACACACACACACAGTGGAAACTTACTGAGCGTCTCCTCCTTCTTCAGTTCCTTGGCTTCCCTCTTCAGGTGGACACGGGCCGACAGTCTTTCAGGAGCCGAGGGTCTTTTTCACAATGCAGCTCTTCCTCCTCCTCATCCTCCTGCTCCATGCCGCCATGGTTACAGCAATGGCCGGTTGCCACAGCGACCGGGACAAGGACCACCGGCCAAGGGAGAACTGCACAGCGGCTGGATACAGTGACATCCCAGTGGGACTCGAACTCACGACCAAGGTAATGCTGCATACACCGACAGCTGCGGCACAAAGATGATAGAGATCAACATGGAGGTTGGAAACATCAAGTCAGTTCAGATGTAAAGACTCTGGGAAGCTGAACTCTGATAACATTCAATACTTTATACGGTCACGATGAAAAAATGATCTATTTTAGGACAAATGTCGGAGGTTCAGTAAATTTAATGCAGTGAACTGTTTTCCACTGGTGTGCACTGCAGAAAACATCTCATTATAAGAGGTGACGAATATTTATAAAAACATCTTAATTATAAGAAAAATAAATACACGACTGACAGTTTGGGAAACAGATGAGATGATGAACGTTTTGTAAAGTTGGACATTTTAATGTTCCTGGTGGTTTCTACCCAGAGCCCATGTTTTAACCACCACTGTGGCACCATAACTCCCACAACAGACCGAGTCACGATCAGCCCGCACAAGAAAACATCTTCTATTCTGTGAAAAGACGCCGAGTTTCCCTGAACTTGTCCCTGACCGGATGAAGGATTTGAGTGAAAGGAAGAGGCGCAGTGGCCACACAGGCCGCCTGTTAGAGACCGATAAGATGACAACAGGAAACCCTGACAGCTCTAAACAGCTTCTGTTGTCTCTCTGTCTCTAGGTTCTTCTGTTTCCTGGGAACCTGTTCTCCAGTCTGTCCTGGACCTCCTTCCAGATCTTTACAGACATCTATGAGATCGACCTCACGGGCAACAAGGTTTCTGACTGAACCGAGCTCATAACATACACAGGAGATTAATAGTGAATCAGTAAAGTTATAGCCAGTTGATACCAGTGATCAGTATGGAGAGAAACAAGGTTTCATGGGTTTTTGTGTCTCCAGGTTCCAGAGGTGACCCCCAGCGTGGCTCCGATCCTGCCCAGCCTCAGTGTTCTCCGACTGGGCGCGAACTGTCTGACGTCCCTCTCTGATGGCTCCTTCTCGGCCTGCCCTGCTCTGACTGAACTCTACCTGCACAGCAACGCCATTGACTCTCTGAGCGACCACACCTTCTCTGGACTCAGCAAACTGGAGGTTAGCACATTAGCATGCTAACACTGACTGTTTTGATGCATGTGAACATAGCAGGACAGGAAGTTAGGATGCAGAGCTTTGTATTCACACCAGTAACACCTTGTAACCGTCTCTGAGTCTCCTTATCGAAGAATGACTCCTCACTGGTTCCCTTCTGACTGACTGTCGCCTTCTAGATCCTGGACCTGTCATCCAATCACATCACGGTGCTTCCTGAGCTCATGCTCCACCCCCTCCAAGCCATAAAAACCCTCTTCCTGGAGAGCAACCAGGTGGGAGAACACACACTAAGCAGGTCTGAAAGCATGTGAGCACAAGTCCAGAAGAAGACGGTTTAAATAGTTCTTTTACTGTAGCTTACTGGTGGTGGACGCTCGCAGCAGCTGTTTCTGCCTTTGCCTACAGAGGGTGAAGGTTGTCAGAACATTTCCTTTAAATTTCAGATAAAGGTGATGCCAGATAATTGGTTCAGCAAAAAGAAGGAGGTTCCATACCTCTACCTGTCAGCCAACCCCTGGGCCTGCTCCTGTTCCCTGGATTACCTGCGCAGATACCTCGACAACTACGAAGCCAACATCTACGTCCGGGATGGCCTGATCATCAGTGCCGACGTAGAGAGTGTGGTGAGTACAAGCAGAGTGCTGCAAAGCAAACATTTGGTTGTATTTAGTCTAAGATAGTTAAACAACCAGATTCTTTGAAGCATAGCGAGGCATGCTGTGACTTACTTTGATGGTCTTCATCCGTCCTCAGGTGTGCGACTCTCCACAGCAGCATAAGGGTAAACCTGTAATAGAGCTGGAAGAATCTGATCTGTGTTCACTAGCAACAGAATCGATTCCACCTGGCGACTTCTACCAGCCAGTTAGTACTGCCTGTCCCTATGAGACGACAACTCCTGTAACAACTATTGCCTTTATTTCTTCCTCACCTCCTCCTCCTCCTCCTCCTCTTCCTCCTACCACTCCCGTTACAACTAGTCCTGCTCTTGCTACCACTTCCACTGCTACGCCAGCTGTCACACAACTCGTCGTCACATGGTCCTGGTACCAAACCTTCACCAGTTTCATTGAATGGTCAGTGAGTTCAGGGTCAAAGGTCACAGTAGAGGAGTCATTCACTAGGTCAAATACCTTGGATACTCACCTTCCTGCTGTCAGACTCTCAACTCAAAGTCCCGCTAACATGACGACAGCTACACCAACAAAACCCAGCACGACCAAATCTGTTCCTTCCACTGTGACATCTACAACACAGAAGCCCCAGGTAGTTACAGCGGCCTTCGCCATTGAAGCAACGCCGCGCCCTTCACCGGTGATTGACAAAGTTGTCGGTGGCCAGGGACGAGGTAGAATCAGCACTGCCAGAGCCGCAGCGGTGTTTTGCTGTTGGCTCTTCGCAGGGTGCTTGCTGCTGTGCTTGGCGTCAGCAACAGGCACCCTGGTGACCCTGGTGATGCTTGTCATCTGGTACAGGAGGGTGTACAAGCCGCTGAGCATGGCGCTGGCGAGGACGAGAGGAGCTAGTCAGGGAGTGAGGCTATTAGCATGCAGGAGGGGGGAGGAGAAGGAGGTGGCAGCAGGAGGAGTAAAGCCCCTGTACCGCTCTGTTCTGTATGTCCACAGAGAGGGAGGAGAAGTTATAGAGAAGGAAGAGGAGGAAGGAGGAGGAGGGAAAGAAAGACTCCTTGTTAATCTGGAGCTGACAGGAGGAGGAGGAGGAATGACAGGAGAGGACGAAGGAAGGAGGGAGGAAAGAGGAGTGTACAGGAAGACGCTGTATCGTCTATTAAGCAAAGAGGAAGAAATAGAGGGATGGAGGGGTGTGGAGGAGGAGTGCCGGGTCTCTAGAGAGGATGGAGGGAGGAGTGGAGGGGGAGGAGCTTCCAGGAAGCGCTACAGCGTGATTCTGAGGGAGGAGAGAGACGAGGCAGGGGGAGGGAGGGAGGAGCTGGACTGGGTGGTTGGAGGGTGGGAGGTAAAACAAGGAGAAGGGGCAAGGGGGGAAGAGCCCAGGAGCAGCTGGGGCGAGTGGCTGGCACACTACTTACCCAGCATGCCCTGGGGGGTGAGCACACCTCCTGAGGGCGAGGCAGCGCAGTGACATCAGACGGCAAGAAATGTGACCAGGAAGTGTTTTGTTCATCGTCTCTGTGGAGTTCACGTTTGATCTAAGGCAAAGAGCTCGACCTGATGCCGACTTGTTCGGGTTATTGATAAAGTGAAACAATATCTGATCAATAGCTGATTCGTTTGTCCAGCACCAAAGAAAAAGTACAGCTCCTGTAAAACCATCAGTAATGTGGCAGCAGGGCAGTGGTGCTGCCACCATTATTAACATACATCTACCCAGAGGTTTTTATGACGACCGCTGGCAGAAACTCCCAGTGTCTCAAACTGGGAATGAGAATTCCCACACGGCTCCTCATTAGTTTAAACATGAGCATGTCGTCTGGTTTCATCCGTGTGAAGTGACATAACCTCAGAGTCGTTACCGTGACATTTGTACTGAATGTACTTATAATCAATCTGCCTTCCTTTGGTCACATACAGTAGCTTGTGAGAGATGATTCAATATTATTGTTTAGAATCAGAGACAACTTTGGAAACTGTGGCTCCAAACAAGCTCATGTTTACATAAAGATTAGCCAAACTAACTACATGATCAGCTGTGAGTACGTGGTGGTGCTGCTGAGATACTAGTACTGAAGTAACCAGCATCTGATCGACTGCTGGATGTTTGGGATAGCGACTATGAACCGTCCTCATCTGTCAGGTTACTGCCACATCAGCCTGATGAAGCTGGGAAACGGTTCCCACAGCTGGGGGCCAGGTTTTGGAGACGACACTCAACACAGTGCGTCACAACTTACTGTGGTTCTCTGCCTGACTCCTGTTTGTCGATGCTTTCAATTGACTCGTTTAATAAAAGGACTTTAAGTCTTGACCTCTCATTGTTTTATTTCTGAACCAGTTATTGTTCTTTCTACAGAGACAAGTTCTGTACGTTGTCTCTTTCTTTGACCAACACGTTTTGATTATTTGACACTTGTACACAGATTTCTTACAGTACTTCAGTTTCCTCTCTGATTAAATGTCCATGGAACACGATTGCTTTGCTGTTTGTGCTGCGTTTGTCTTTGTGTAGCTGCAAACAAAACTCTACTGTGTAAATCCAGGTGAACAGATGATTAAAATGCTGAAATCAGAAAACATCTGGGTAATTTTATTTACTGATCAGCTATAATGTTACAACAGGGTGACATGTTCATAACAACCTAAATGAACCAGTGTGGTGACTCCAGGCTGGAGCTCTTCCACAGTAAACATCAACATCTGTGGTAGAAAATACTTTTCTGATTTAAAAGGCTCAGAGAAGATCAGTTTATACAGGCTGGGGGTCTAAAAACCTGCCCCAGAGGGCAGCAGTGTGTCTCCTGATGAGGTTTTAATCACGTTTGAACAACAACAGTCTATGGCAGCGACAGACGTGCTGGTCCAGGACTGTCCCACATTAATGAGCACAGGGTCTTAACGCCTTGTTTAGGTGTTAGGACCGACGAGCACATGTCAAATGTAGAAACCATGGTTAATGTTCTGGGATGCTAGGTTAACCATCTTGGATAGAAAAAGCCTTGGAGCCTGTTAAATGCCAAAATGGAGGTTGAAGAAAACCCCCAGTTCACCCAGTGCCAGCCGACCTGGCTGAACAAGCAGCTGGACAAAGACAGAAGAACGAACGTTGGAAAAGGAACCTTAATCGGGTGAGGTCTGCTTTCCAAAGACGCAGAGCGCTCTGGGATTTAAAGGGACGAGCACGGAGCCAGAGGCCGCTCCAGCTGGACAGGTGGGTCGGTGTTCGCCGTGTGCCGGTGAAAACCGTTAGGGTGTCTATGTTGTCGTCGGGTGGGCAGGCTGAGAGCTGCGGTAGCGTTACATCAGCCTGTTTGCTGGGACATTCAGCTAAGTTACTATTTTACAAATGTCTGTGGTTGTTCTGACTTCAGCCACAGCAGCTGGAGGCTGGTGTGTCAGGACAACAGTGGAGTGTGTGGCTGGTCACGGGGGACGTGGTGACGAGATCCTAACTGAAACCGCTTAAGGATTTGTAGAGACACCAGTCAAAATGTCAACACGGCTGGAACAGCTGACTTTACACTGAACACACTCAGAAAATCCTTTCACAAAAAACTGGATTTGTTATTTTTAATGAAAAGCAAATTAATTAAAAAGTAGCGTTCTACTAAGTTACTTCACTAAAAATAACTGAATGAATGAAAACAGTAACAACAGAAACAGTAAATGACAACAAAGGAAGTAAAAAACCAAAGTTGTAAATATTAAAATAGAAAGTGTTCTAAAATATTTGCTTTGGGTTTTTTCATTGATTAACCTGCAAAAAACAGACTAAACAGAAATCGTACATTTCAGGACTGTGTGTACAGGACGGCTGAGCCAGATCAATACCAGACCTGCTACATGGCAGAGCAGAATCAAGCCAGGGATCCTGTGGCTCCACCTGTCAGAACCCGAGACGACACCTCAACAGCAGCTCCCATCAGGCAGAAGTCTCTCATCAGTCGCTCCCTCTCATACAGCGACGGTGCTGGAGGTCAAAGGTCAAAGTGTTTATTGTCATATGCACAGTTAGGAAACACGTTTCCCTGTACAATGAAATAAGGAGGACGCCTTATGTGAGTGCTGCGTTAAGACCGACCTCCGACATCCTGACTGGACAAACACAAGGGTCCAGGTTTTGCTTCCTGTCTCTCATTTAGACACTTGTGCTTCTTCAGCCGAGACATGAAGAGGAAGCTTTTCTTGCACTTGACACAGTAGTAGGGTTTGTTTCCAGTGTGGATCAGCTGATGCTCCGAGAGTCTGGACGATAAGTAGAAGCGCTTGCCACAGTATTGACACTGGTGGGGTTTCAGTCCCTTGTGGGCGAGGTCGTGTCTGTAACGTGACGATGAACTCCTGAAACTCTTCCCACACTGCTTACAGCTGTACGGCTTCTCCTCAGTGTGGACATACTGGTGTCTTGTGCATTCTGCTGCTGTTGCAAACGTTTTCTCACAGTGTTTGCACTTGTACGGCTTCTCTCCGGTGTGGATCCTTTCATGACGTAGAAATGACGCTGTGTTACTAAGGACCTTCCCACACTGCTCACAAGGGAAGACCTTTTCCTTAGTGTGGGTGTTTCTATGAACCTTGTAAGCCGCTAGCTGGGTGAAACTCTTACCACACGCCTCACAGCTGTACGGTTTCAACCCAGTGTGGATCCGCTCGTGTACCCTGCGGTCAGTTGCAGAAATGAAAGCTTTCTCGCAGTGTCTGCACTGGTACGGCTTCTCTCCAGTGTGGATACGTTGGTGGATTTTTAGACCTTCTGACCGAGTGAAGAACTTCCCACACTGATCACAGTGATATGATTTCTCTCCGGCGTGGGTGCCAAGGTGTTCCCTGAGGTCACGGGAAACAAAGAAAGCTTTGCCACACTGGTCACAGCTGAATGGTTTCACTACATTGTGGCGGCGCTGGTGGGTTCTGTAGTTTCCTGATCTTGAAAATGTCTTCCCACACTGATCACACCTGTAGGGTTTCTCTCCTGTGTGGACTCTGCAGTGGATCTTCAGCTCTCCTGATGTGGAGAACGCTCTGTCGCACTCCTGACAGCGGTAACATTTCTCTCCAGTGTGGAATCTGCGATGGTGAGAGACCGCTGCTCCTGATGTTGCGAACGTATGGCCACACTCCTGGCAGCAGTAGGGCCTTTCTCCTGTGTGAACTCTCTGATGAACCTTTAGTTGTGATGACTGGGAGAAGACCCTGTCACACCGGTCACAGCTGAACGGTTTCTCTCCGGTGTGGGTGCGCTGGTGGGTGTTATAGATACTTGATGTTGAAAATGCCTTCCCACAATGCTCACAGCTGTAGGGCTTCTCTCCGGTGTGAACGTTCTGATGAATCTTTATCTGTGATAACTGGGCGAATGCTTTGCCACACTGGTCACAGCTGTAGGGTTTCTCTCCAGTGTGAACTCTCTGGTGAATCTTTAAACCATACGATGTGGAAAATGCTTTCTCACAGCGCTGACAGTGGTGAAGTCTGTCGGCCTTTTTGGAGCCTCTCTTTTTCTATAATGACAAAGACACAGAAAGAGTACAAATGAGGCCGCGGAGGAAAAACTATCGAGTTATCTCTGGTTTCAATAACAAGTCACAGAAGCCACATGGTTAGCCAGAGCTCCCAGTGCATAAACCACTGCCCTCACTGGTTTCCCACCAGACAACAGCACCTACTGGTAGGAATCTTTTGCCAAACTGGAGGCCCTGCTGCCTGACAGGGAATCTGCTCTCTGCTGTGGTGGACCACACAAACACTACCAGGCTGACACTGTCATATGAAGGATGTGCACAGTTCGTCTGATTTGTGCACATTCTAATCATGTAACACTGGTTTTTAAATGAACTGAGTTTAACTGAGGTCAAAATGTAACAAGTGGCAGAACATGTCCTGAAACATAACAGTGTACGCAAACAGCTGTAATGACCTCAACATTTGGACACACACATTATTACACACAGCTCTAAAGCGTCTTGGTAAAATCTGGGTCTCCAGGTTAATTAACAGAGACGGGAAAACACCACGTGTACAACTTCCCAGTTAGGAATTCATCTGGGGTGACACCACCTGCTGAGCCAACGACTAGTCTCTCATTGTGGATTTTATTAGACTGTTCAAAACAAAGACGGGAAAAAATAAAATCACATCGTTGACATACACAGGAACTAGCAGATAATTAAAGAAGAAAGAAATACGGAGTGAGTCACAGCTGAGACTTGGACCTTTCGTGGGGAGGCCATGCTTCTTCCTCAGTGGGACCAGATCCCCGGCGTCCTCCGGTCCTCGTCAGATCAGTGTCCGTCCACCAGTGAACTGTGAAGTTGACAGAAGCAAGGTGAGATGGGAAGACAGAAACGAGATGAGACGGGAAGAAATAAACGAGATGAGACAGGGAGCCCACACAAAATAATGTCACTGAAAAAGAAATGTGACTCTTCAACAGCCTCGTCTCTTTAACGTGTTATAAAGTCATAATCCAACTGCAGCCATGTTAGTCTTCACTTCTTACAGTCACAAATAATAAACAAGTAGCTCAGACAAGCTGCTGCTGTCGTCATCAGGCTGGAAGAAAACATCTGTCTGACTGCCAGCAGCTGGACTGGGGTGTGACATTGGTGTGGAAAAATCTTATGTCCTAAAATGAGCGACCGCTAGTGAAACAAAGAGGTTTAGGACAAATCTGTCTTTGTTTTTTTCTGCAGAAGTAAATAACATAATCTACAACAGCATCGGAGTGTCTGCTACAGAGGCTCGAAAAGAATCCGAATCGGAATCATAATCAGAATCAGCTTTATTGGCCAGGTGTGACGGACACACAAGGAATTTGACTCAGGTACATCGGCTCTCAACGTGCAAACAGTAAACCAGCATAAGGCTGTGTAATATAACAGAACTGAATCACAAGTTTCAGGGAGGATTAGATAAAAGGCACCTGCTCTGATAACACACACACACACACACACAGCAGGGCTCAGCAAATACAAATATCATCTGACAATGTGTTTACGACACAGACAAAAATGAGAAGTCTGCATCAGTCAAAGAGGAGAGGACGAGATGAGGAGGAAACACAGAAGGTGATGGAGATGAGGAAGAGCAGGTACCGCCCACTGTGTCCCTGTGCTGCTCAGCAAGAACTGACTGATCACGTTCAAACCAGATCTCGTGACCACGCCGGCCTCTTCTGTTTCCAGATGTTTACATTTAACATGTACTGACACATCATCCATGCTGCTGCTTAACTCTACTGCCGTCCACGTTTTGGCCTCTAAACGTCAGAGCACACAGCCCATAGGGACCAGGACCATGCGTTTTACTTTGGGGGGGGGGGCATGCTCACATCCCCCTCTAGCTACGGCCATGTGCTTGGGGGTAGACCAGAAGGACATGGGACACACTGTCCATCCTGTCTGATCAATCACCCTGATTAACGGCTCTTTTCACTCATCTCTAACAGCAGGACGACGTCAGGCTGCGTGATTTTAGACTAAAAACTGGGGACGTGCGTTAGATACCAAGACTCGGAAGTAGGCCGAGCTAAAGTGTTCGGCTGGGCTCAGGTCAGGCTTCATGACACAGGACAGGTGGAGGTGAAGCTCAGATTAAAGTACAGATGGAGGTGAAGCTCAGATTAAAGTACAGATTGAGGTGAAGTTCAGATTAAAGCGAAGGGAAACGGTTTTCTATCTTCTAACAAACTTCGCTAACCCCAGCATCGACCCCGGAGTCTTGGGATCTTAGAGACGTTCACTACCAGCTCGTCAACTCCCTGTCGGAGCAACAAAAACGAGTCTGACACAACAGGAAGTTCAAGACAAACACAGAGCTGTGAGTCGGTGGTGAGCAGGTGGACTTACCTGGAGCTCAGCGCGAAGAAACGTGAAGAAATCAAACCGCTAACAGCTCATTCCAACATGGCGCCTGCTAACGACTGTAGCGCTTATAGACATATAAAATACGTAGACGACGCGTTGAGCTGGTTGGCCCGCTGCTACGACACGTCAACGTAGGCGCCATGTTGGAAGTGGAGTTCTGCCCCGTGATACAATACAAGTGAATGGACTGACCTTTATAAAACACATTTAAAACACATTTCTACGTCGTATTCTAAATGATTTCCTGACATTTACCAATTCACACACGCATAAATATGTTTAGGAACCAAAACCAACATGTGCCACGTTGTCTGATGATTATAAATGTTAACTACTCCTTATATATTTAGCACAAAGGTAGGAACCAAACCGACATATGTACTTTTCTGATGTTTTCATTAGTGTTTACAGCTACCAATTTTTGTAATGCTGTTACTGTGATAATAAATAACAGTTAAATATTGATTATTACATCTGTCTATACCAGTTCCTGAAATGTAGATGTGTCTATGGGAATTAAAGCACTGACGATTACAGTTAACAAATTTTGATTGTTTTTATGTCCAGTGATTTTTAACCAGTAGTGAAATGGGAAATAGAATAAAGTCTGCAAATAAAAAAAAGACCATAATTGGCTGGCTTTTACATAGAGCAGGTATAGACTATATTTTTATTTAAAACATTACCACATGAGTAGACACATATTTACATTTATACAGCTGTATATATAATGAAGAACATTATATGTCTATATCCATCCATCCATACACACATACATACAGCTACTGTCTGTGTGTGAGCTAAAACCCATTAAAAAGAACCATTTTGCACAGTTTTTTGTGTGTGTTGCCACTCTGTAACTGAAGAGTGTTCAGTTTGGCAATGTGGTGCAGCCTCAGTTTGTGGAAGGCAGACACAACCAGTGACATCAGCACAAAATGGTGGTTGTCAATTCCAAACTGTGTTTCCTGAATGTGCTAATCTGAGTAATTACAGGACGGGAGACATAGCTAAAAAACACTGCCTTGCTAGTTTGGACGCTGGATTCACCAGGGACTTCACAGTATTATCCACAAAGTAAACACATTCCGTTCTGAACATGATGTTATAATGACCAAATACAATAAAAACACAATATAGTTAAGTCTAACTTGTGGAAGCTAATCCCATGGGATCTGGTTTCTGCTGTCGAACGTTTGGAACAACCCCAAGCAGCACATGATTTAGGCATCTCACTTTTTGCCACTTCCAATATGGCGCCTACGATGACGTCTGATTCAAGGCTCAACGCGGAGTCTATGTATTTTATGTCTATAGCGCTGCTTCAACCTTTCTTCTTCTTCTTCTAATTCTTCTTCTTCTATTTTCTGGCGGTTGGCGAGCAGCGTCAGGTGCATTACCGCCACCTTCTGACTAGGAGTGTGAGTCAAGATAATCCACCAAACCTCCACAGTCTATTTATTAACCCTGTATTCACCAAAAAAAGGAGACTACCCATAAAACACCGTTCTCCTGAACTGCTTTGCCTTATGTCCTGTCATGTGTTATTGTCACTGTTGATGATGTTTCACCAGACGGAGTAGTGTTGTGTTTCATTAGTAGCATTAGTTTCATTGTATGCTTCATACAATGACAATAAATTACTCTGATCAGATTCTGAATCAGTCCTCCTGCAACAAATACCTTCTTCTAATGGAGTTGGGGCAGCTTCAGGTCACTACCAGATCACCATGACATTTGACACCTGTCACAGTTTCTGATCGTCTTTAAAACACAGGAGGAGAAAACTAAATGTGACCTCCCTCATCAACAGAAAAGAAACAGTGTGCAGGCAGAAACATCAGCTTCAGATCAACAAAACGTTTCTCACTGTCAGAGAAAACATCTGTGAACACATCACCTTAGGATCAGAGCCCTGCAGCTTTGTCTCGACTTCCATCCATCATACAGGTGGATGTAATTCAACGTGCTGTACACATAAAAGACAATAAGACCAAAAGGCAAAGTGTAAAAAAGGTTGAATCAAGGAACGGTTTGATCATAAGTTCAGCTTCTGTCACTGTTGGGTTCACAACTTGTCTCTGTTAAAAACAAATAGACAAGTCAGTTGCTGCAGGTTTAGGTACGAATGGCTTGTTTTGGTTTAAAGATCATAGATTGGGTTAAACAGGTCAGTGGATCTACAACAGTAACCACATGGTTAATTATTGTTTCACACCTGCAGTGTTGAGTACGTTGTACATTATCAGTGACTGATATCACCTCTGTTTCCCCTGTTGGTGCAAAGTCTTAGCTTTGTCCAGGGGAATAGAGAATACAGCAGTCAGTGAATGAAGGGCTGTCTGTGATGTTAACAATAGTACAAATGAATAAAGGATTATTCAGTAGAAATATTACACAATACAACCTTCAGTAGCCATTGGTTAAATAATCTGCACCGACTGGGCCCCAAGGGACACAAACATTATCACTGACAGATTGTTAAAATGGACCATTAAGCCACCACAGCCGACCACTCTGTCCACTCATTCACAGCACAGACCAGTAGTGAACACAGCGCTGTACGAGGACACGTTGGACCGGGGATCAAACAGGTTCTCAGCTGCACCTCCAGCAGTGACAGAGCTACACCATCCTCCATGTGGAGACGTGTCCCCCTAGTGAGTCCCACTGCATTGTGTTACTGTCCGTCCAGCAGAGGGCAGCACAGAGCAGCTGACACAGGAGACGCTGTTCACACACACAGCTGCTGCCCGTGACTAGTGTCTATGATGAGGAGGCTTGCTGTTGTGAACATTACTGAATCCAGCCTGAACAGAAGTTACCACCCTGCTCTGCTGACAGTGACCTATAGTGACTGACTGCATGCAGCTGCAGTGTGTAGCCACATTTCAGTGGTTTAGCACAAAGACACTGTCAGATACACAGGTATCTCACTTCCTCTCCACTAATCTACAGTTTCTCTACCACCGTACAACTTATCTGAATATAAAACTCCACATCTTAGGAAAACAGACATTGAACCCCCTTCACTAAATAATTTAATGTAATATACATCGAAAATACAGAACTTATCAAAAGAGCAGTTTTATGTTTCCTCTCACACAGACTCATCCATCAGGGTCAGTTTCACCGTCAGCAAACGTCTCCTGTACAAAGTCTCCTTATCTACATTCTGACTGAATCTCCTCCTGAAGCTGAGCTTTAATCTGTGAGTTTCTTTGTGTTGCAGCAGCAGAAACACTTTGCTGTCGTCTCTGGAGAGAAAACCACAGCAGTGCCAACCACAGACTGAGGAAGGAGGAGGAGGGTTTGATGTGATGTGACCATGAACAGTGTGCAGATCTAATGTCACCAGGCCTTAAGATGGAGGGAACATCTCTGCTGCGTCTGCTCTGTAAGTACTCTGTGTGTTTATGTCTGGACTGGGACTCGGTGACAAGCTGGGACAGTTCAGATTACACCATCAGGTGGCTGGAGCTCTGCTGTCTAAGTCAACTGGTTTCCAGTTTGGGTGTTACATCCTTTACCGGTGTAAAACATGCTTCATATCTAACAAACCTACAGCCAGATGTTAGAAAAGCACTAGTTTCAGTGGTGTGGTCCTAAATAACGCTGCACACTGTGACGACGGCCTTAGTGATGAGGGTGAGAACAGGTGAGTCTGTCTTTGTCCAGGTAGAAAAGCACTGTACAGGTCCATCCACCATCTAAAGATGACGTGGGCCTGGTGCTGGAGACGGACTCAGTCCAGATCCAGGTGCCACAGTCTGTGAGGTGAAGGGTTTAACGGCCTCTCTTCCAGTTTGGTGTAGAACTTAAAGCAGAGCCGTTTCCTCCTCTCTGTGCTCGGCCTGCATCAGTGTAGGCTACAGGAAACCAGTGTTCACACGTCAGTGTTTGTCAGTTTGCTCTGTCGTCTTGTTGCATGTGAACCCTCAAACCATCCTGACTCTCATTTCTCTTCAGCTGTGACCTCAGTGCTGTGCTGCACGACAGACCAAGGTCAGTGAACGTCACATCTGACACTTTCTAGGAAACTGTGGGACAGATTCACTAAGAAAACAGGCTCTTTGCGAGTTTGCAGCCTCAGCTGGTTTGTATTTAACTGGAGTGGACAGTGTGTATTAGTTGATGCCAACAGCTACGTACAGACTTCCTGAGCCGTCGTCCAGGAGCTAAACTTAGCATAAACGGCTAAATCTTCCAGGATCATTGTGGAAGCGAGGGACAGGATCTGGGTTCAAAGCTGTCAGCATCAATTAACCACCTCAGATTTTGGTTGTTCATTAATGTAACTTACAGGTAAATTCCAGCAGGTCCACTTTTTCTTACAACTGTATCCAAACTAATCAGGTGTTGACAGAGTTCATAACCTCTGATAAGGTCACTGAGGGGGACTGACCTGGGGGGGTGGGGGTGTAAGAGGTCCTGGGTTTCACAGGTCCAGGGATTATTAATGTAATTATTTTAATCTATATCGTACATGACCTCTGCTCTTCTCTCCAGCTCGTCTAACTGCGAGTCCCAGCAGCTCTCAGCTGTTTGACAGAGACTCAGTGTCTCTGAGCTGTGAGGAGGACGACAGCTCTGCTGGATGGACGCTGAGGAGGAACACGACCGGACGACAGAGGACTCAGTGTGGAGTTGACTGGGGAAGATCAGCTGGTTCTTCT